TACTTCACATCCTGTTACATCACGACTCAAGTATCCCAAAAGTGTTTGTTGCTCCTCCTGCCAACTCTCAGTGGAAAAAGCTCCTTCGGAATTATGAGCACAAACTGGGTGCAGTGGGCAGCCAGCAGGACAATAGGAGGACAATAAGGAACAAGTTCAATTTCTAAAGGTTTTAGCATATTATTAAAGGGTAAATAAGTAGGAAACAATGAGCGACTTTTCAGAAAATCATGGCTTCCTTGTTGTCCCACATTGTTAAAAGAACATTATTGAATTAAGAATTTGTCTCGGGATGATTTATTGGAGTGAGCGAAACCCGCATGGAAATAACAATAATACGCGAGCTAAAATATCTCGCACTCCTCTGCATAATATAACTCATGATAATGTGCAGTAAAATATGTGGCCCACTTGAATAGATTTCTCTACATACTCCGGCTTCATGCCAGCCAGCAGAAAAGCGAGCAACGCAACGCATAGGAAGAACGGACGGACGGAGGAGGTGTATTAAAAGTGCAGTGGTATCCAAAACGCAAAACTGTCCCGTGTAGAAAAGGCGACGATGAGGATGCATGAATTATGACTCTTGGTTTGCGGTTGTTCTTTTACCTCCCTGTCACGTTTAGTTCAAACGCCCTGTTAATTACTTTGATTAATTGACAATGTCAGCCTCCCCGGGTTCAGTTCAGAGCTTGGCTCGGTTATGGATCATTTTCCTCCTCCGCCTCTTCTGCCGCCATGCGACGACGACGACCAGGATGACGACATTAACCCACAAATTCTTTACGTTTTGATCCCTCCGATTGTAATGCGTATGTAATGTTGCCCTTTCTCTCGACTTTCACCAATCAAATTTTGCATGCGCATCATCCAGAGCCATTGAAACCGTTGAGATTTACAATTAGTTGCTTAATAGAATTTACACCTTGATAAGATTCTAATAATTTCATACATAAAAATGAATACAAGTACATACATACATATGCTGACGATTTGAACGTGTATAGCACGAGCACTACGTCAACCTTATCATCACGCCTCACTAAAACTGAACTCGATTTCATTCGCATCTCTCTCTTGTCCAATTTAGCTGACGTGATGTTGTTGCCCCTCGCACACACAGATTCGTGATACCGAGCAATACAATAATAATGATAATAATATGACAACGTCAAGTGCGGCGTGTGTAGTCTTCTGCTAAAAGTCACCCTTCTAGCGAAGGATATAGATACGTAACCATGAGCCCGGCGAGAGGAAGGAGATGAGCCTCACAGCAAACGAGGAACAAAATGTGTGAGTAGTGGATAAATGATTATGAGAATAATTTCTGCTTTGCATTCCATTCTCCATCCGACGACCATTTCACGGAGATGAATTTGCTCCTCATTCATTGCCAAGGACTACGGAGGATGAAACAGGCAGGCAGAACTACACAGTCGAATGGAGAGAGAGAGCCTGGAGCGAGGAAAGCAACAGAAATCCGGTCAGAATAAAGTAGCTCTCGTTTCAACTTCCTCGTTCGTCGTATTCGTCCCTCTTTCCCATTTATTTATTTCATTTGCCTCAAAATTGTAGCAGTGCATAGTCTCCACATCCCAGGAGCAGCCTAGTCTAATGACATGACAGATAGAGTGAGAGGAAATTACTCGACGAATGGAAACAAGCGTGGAAACGGTTGTAGTCGCTCTTACTCTCTCATCTTAAATGCTGCTTCTGCTGCAGGAGGAGTAGCAGCGGAGTCGATTGATCGCTCAATCCCAGTGCCGCATTAGATTAGGCAGCCAAAGACTCTGGATGGAGTCACTCAACTTGGTTTTCGACGAGGCGAGAGAGGGATGATGAGTTCAGCTCCGCAAGGATTGCTTTCCCCATCAGAAAGAGCGAGCTGGTCGTGGTGGATGGATAGATTTAGATGAATAATCGTGGGGACGACTCCTTGTTTAATGTGGCACAAGTTCTCATTACCAACGACAACCTCGGGAGAGCTGCAACATCGCTGTTGGCTTGAGCCGACGGAGGAGTGATGTCGCTAATAGTGAGCTCTCCCTGCTCCTGCTGGTGAAAGGGAGGATAGAAAGTTAAAGCAATGTGGTAATAGTGGTGGATGGTCGACGTATTGATTTAGTATGAGTTGCAGGGTGCGGATGACGATGACACTAACAAGTAGGAGAGGAAGCGTTGATGGATCACGTCGCACGTTGTACGACGCCTTAATTCCTCTGCATGTATGTGTAAGAGACCCGGAGAAGGTTGAGGTCCCCCCTCGGGCGGACTGACCACCACGCGAAAGGATGGGAGAGAACAAGCGGGGGAACAAATACGACTCCAATTGAAAACGATTAGGCCAAGAAAATGAAGAAATCGGTAGGAAGTAAACGGCCGTGTGTGTGAGTAGGTGACGATTGGTTTGGTTGTTAAGGATTTCACTCGTATATAGCCATCGCTCTCTTCTTTCTCTCTTTTATTTGTCCTATTACGACTTCACAATACAACACTTTGTCCAACTAACTAACTGCATGCAACTGTAGCCAAGTGGTTGCTTACCACTTGGCTACTCTATCTATCTGCCCATCTATCTCTCTGGTATGTTTGTGAACATTCTGTTCACAAACTCAGTCCATCCATTATACTATTATCACTCCTCTCCTGCCTCCTGCTGCTTCCTCCAACCATCCAACATTCAACCCGACTGCAGTGCAACCGACCGACCGCTACAGTTGCTTTCTACAGCATCCGTTCTCTCTCTCTCTATTTTGGAAGAGAGGGAGAGAGAAAACGAGAGACCATCATTTCATTACACACTGTCTGCGTATCTTCATAGCCTGGGTTAGGGTTTGGACAATGGGGCTGAATTGGAATCATATCACACTCAAGTGGTCTTAATACTTGCTTTCTGAGAGAGAGTTCTCACAACTTGGACCCTGCCTACAAACTCCCAACTCGCCTTTCCTTCTACACATTGTTTCACGCGAGGACTAATAATATTGCTACGGAACAAGAGAGTTTGGGAAGAAGAGAATAAGCTCTACCCTCTTCATCAAGGAGAAGGAGGAAGAGAGGATTTAAGAGCCATGGTGGTTGTGGAGAAAGCCAAGCCGGATAAAGGGAAAACGTTTCCCAGCCTCCCAGAATTTTGTTTTCCTCTTCCTCGCATCATAATCATCTTCTCGTACAAGAATCCTCCTTCCACTGATTTCGCCTCTAATTAATTTTACACTACATCGACTATGCCCTGCTCTCCTCGTTCCCTGCATGCTACGAGTTAGTACTTCTACTATTGACCCGCGTCTGAACTTCAGTGCTCTCTCTCTCTCTCTCAGTGAGGCAATAAATTCTAATCTCATAAAAGGAGGCTTTTAATGAAAGGGTAATGAATCCATATTTCTGGAGCTGCTTTTCTCTCCTCTTCTTCGTCCTCGCAGGTTTATAAGCCTCGGGAGCAGATCGTGTGTTGGCTTCTCATCAGTGTGCGATGAGTCAGTCAGATGAAGAGATAGAGAGATGAGAAGCTGACCCCAGTTTACACTTCGTGGTCCGTGTACTTGTGTACGAACGTATAGTTCAAGTGGTGGTAGTTATGATGAGCTCTTGTTTGTGTACATGAACACAGATAATGATACGTGCATACATGCATAGGCAGGAAAAATAGGGTTGTTTTTCGAGGGTGTACAGAGTACTTGCTGATATTAATTCATCTCTCGCTCTGCTGGTCACTGCCATGTGTGTGATTATTCGAGCTTATTGTTTGGACTCTTTCACCACGATTGCTGAAGGGGTGGTGGATACTGGTCGGTGGTGGGTATTGCCCAACTCAGCTTCAGGTGAACCAGGGTTATTGTCCATTATTATTATTATGGTAATGCTTAAGAGTACAACGGATGGTGGGGATGAGTGAGGTCGTGGAAGAAATTATGTAAAATGTTGAGAAGATGCGCCTCGAGCTTTCATTAATTCCATTTGTTTGAAAATGATGACATGCACATCTTGTGCACAACTCGCTCTTTCTCTGCCTACTACTTTTACCACCACCACCACCACCCTACTCCAAGTCATCATGGCTAATTTAAATTGCAAAATAATTTTCCATCCATCCGCTCCCAAATTAGAATGCATTACTGACACAAATAGCAAAGCCACCCCGTTGGCCTGGGATGAATAGAACCCATCAGACGAACCGAATCCTGAGAGAGAGAGAGAGTGCTCCCGGTAGTAGTAGCCTGCTCCTCAGTTCTGCTATTATTCATGACTCCATCTCCTCCTCCATCGTTCCTCTAATGTCTCAAGAATTTAATGTATTCATTTAATAATTCTCAACAGGAGAAGAAATTACTCCTTTCTCCTCCGTTTCACATCAATCTCCTCCAGAGAGTCCGGGATTATCAAACAAGTCCAAATATCCAGACCCACAAGATCCATCTCAGCCTTTCATCCATCATCCTCCACTTCATATCACTAGGGGCAACGTGGCATCAGAGGAGTCATCAACTTGATGACATCAACTACTCACTATTGCCAATCACGACTAATGCATAGATCACTCTTCCACAAACCAAGATGCTAAAGCTATGTATGCAAATATGCACTGGAAACAAAGCACAAAAAATAGTATTAATTCATGTACTAGAAAAAATAATAAGATGCATTCGAAACCGGACGAAATTTCAAAAAAGAACTTCTCACGAATAGAGGTACGTCTTTGTTAAGGGAGACAAAGTTTGTAAAAAAAGTATTCACAAGTGAGCTCAGGGACTATTTCAACCATCTATGTTTGCCTCGAGGAACTATTGCTGCTTTCTCCACTACAAGCATTTAGGATTAGTATGTTTAACGGTATCGATAAAATGCTCTACATTTCTGGGAAACTTCTTGGGAATTTATATGAGTTAGAGAACCTTTGGTAAACTGCTTTATAAACGAGACGACTTTTATTTATTTATCATTGACAATCGTACAAAACTTGCATACATGATTTAAAAAGTAAAATTGCTTTTACAGAAAGATTTAAACTGTGGTCAAAGATTTTCGCTTTATTTCATTCGCTTAGTAAATTTTACAGTTAAACCACAAAAAGTTAGTGAGCCGTTTCATTAGGATTTTTTATGGCATAGAATAGAACACATGAGAGAGAGGAGACAAAGGAGAAAAGAGCAACTACTTCTCGTCAGAATTATAAATTATATTTCATACATTCTTGCAGAAGATTCACAAGTCTTGTGACGAATAAATTGAAATCTATCCATACATTATACACATTTTATAGAAATTTCTCTGATTGAGGAGATCTTTAATTGTACACGCCGGTCATTTGGTGACATTGCAATTTACAACATGTTTACAAGTTCCAAACCATGCGTTATTGTTCAGAGTTGATAAAACCCTTAAATCAATACGCTTATTATTTGTGTACAAGTGACAATTTGTTTGGTGCTTCGTTACGTAGATTTTTGCATGTGCGATGATGCAACTCCATCATACCCGTCGTCGTACCCTTGATCCCCGGAACTGGAGGAAGATAGGACGTCTGACACTGGGGTTAACTTTTTTAGCATCACCGGAACGGAGTATGACTTTGGAGGCGGACCACACAGTTTTTGATGGATTTTCTCCACCTGGAAATACAATTGTATGTAATCTCACTAAAAAAATTGCCAGAAATTGTTGCATTTCTCACCTCCAATAAATAGTCTATAGCTGGAAGAAGACTTTTGCAGATGTTATCATCGTGCATCAAAACTCTCAACTTGGGCGCTGCACTCCTCTTTCCGGTGACCCATTCTCGAGTAAATGTGATCTTAAGGGCAAAATCGGTAAGTATTAATTCACCCAAATAAGTAACATCCTCGCAAATACCTGAGCCATCGACGCAGCAAACAGGGAGAGTTGCACCACCAGGAAAATTGAGAATATGTATTTCATTTCAAATTTTTTTTTTATTTTATAAATTTCGAAATTTAAAAAAACTATGTAGTGGGAAGAATTGCACCAAGCCTACAACACTACCTTCACGCACAGGTAGGTGGAAAGGAGAAGATGCTTCCCAGGCCAAAGTGGACAGGAAAGAGAATGATTCCTGTGGCTAAACCTGGCGTGCTTTTATACTCGACCAGAAAGTGAGTGGAGAGAATTTCTGAAAAAGTGGGAGACGCAGCTCAAGCAAGCAAGGGCTCTTCGCCGTCGTCTACCCACTCTATGATAATTCGTTTCCAAAATTGAATATGTTGAGGACTCGGCCTTAAAAAAAGAATGCGTCGCAAATCGCAAATGACGCCAAACATCAAAAGGACATACATATTTCATTTGGAGAAAACAAGATTTAGATTTGTATGTGTTTTGTCTTGGTGACATGTCTTATGTAAGATGACGACTGAATATAAAAACAACGATTCCTATGTATTCCCATTTTTACCTTTGAGCTTCACGAGATTATGCAGCCATGGAGTTCATAATAATAAGCCGAACCCGCATTGCAATCCCTCCTCCACGTAGCGTAACATGAAACCAATTTTTCTAGAAAGTCATATGTCAACTACTTATTTTACATCTCGGAGTATGCTTTCTCCACATCACGCTGATGTAAAAATTCCGTGAAAACTGGCACTCACTTTCTGTCTCATCTCAACATTGAGTACTTACGTATACTTTGGGCGTCAATTAAGGTAAAAGCACTTGTGTTGTCACCTTAATTAAAATAATCATAAAAACGAGAGAAAGTCAAGACAGGTAAGCAAAAAAGCGAGTCAAATTACTCAAAGTATGTGTTGGCGTTTTAAATGCTACTTATTCAATCTCCACAAAATAATGCTTGGATTACTTATATGAAATTGTCTTTTCGCTAAGGTGTTCATCCAATCCGTGCAAGTAGAGAAATTGACAAGCCTTTATCATGTTATGCAAATTTTGATGTCAAAATTTCAAACTATCAATGTATAAATGTATTCATATGCATATCTTAATTGTAACGAATGAACGAATTAATCCACTCCTGCTATTCTTAAGTTCAATGCATAGATGCAAATTTTGTGATTAAAGAAAGTTTGAGTCAAATGGGACGCTATAGTACATCAAAACGGGTATTTGCTTATATCGCATGGGTTCAACTAGGGTGACGATATCTTATTTTGTAAAGGTCAAGATCTCAAGTCAGTATGTTTACCATTTCTTTAGATCTAGTGTAATTTTATTCACTGTGATATGTGAGCAGCATACCCGAATATAAATATGAGACAGTAGCTTCTAACGCATACATGCTTCTTAGCAGGAAAGTCGTTTACGCCATTACATAATTACTATCTTATAGCAATGAGTTACTAATAAATAGGGAGATGAATGGGCAGTTGGTGCGCCAAGTGGCGAACTTCAAAGTTTCGAACTATGAGGGTTTGGGACTTTGATTGATTCCTAGCCAATGCTGAGTTTTTACAATGTTTCTCCGATTCAGACTATCGCACACGTATGCAAAATTTTGGCAAGTTTGGTCGAATATAGAAATTCATATGGAAGTCATTAGAAATATTTAAGAGAAAAAATCTGACGCCAAATAAGTATTTCGTCACACTATTTATTTGTATTCATTGTGTAGGAAAAGACTAGAACTAAAAAGTTTTTTTAGGTAAAGTTTTCCGACCTTTCCATCTTGGGCGTTAGAAATGACGCACTCTCTGATGTAACGGATACTGGCAATGACTAAGACTGAGGATGAGTTCGTTATGTCATAATAAAATGAAATAATAACAATCTTGTAACTGATATTTTCTAAAGCCCTCAAGGAAAGTAGGATTGAATGTCTCCCGAAAATGTGAAACAATTTTCTTCCGTTCAACCAACACATCACATGCATACCTCCAAACTTGATTTCTTTACGTATTTAATATTTGCATTAGTTGTTTCTGTCACCGAACAGGCACTAAATACAACTATGCATTAGTATCTTTTAAATATGCTCTTTCTGAAGCCGATTTATCTTTTTAACTGAAATTAATGCAGAAATGCAGAATGAATGCAGGGTGAAAATGACATAAACAACTATGATGATTCTATATAAACTGTCTACGCATAAAATTAAGCATCTACACTCATGCTTGATCCACTTTGTTCTCTACGCTTCAAAAAATTTTCCCCAAAGCGAAAGTCCATGCAAATGCAACAAAAGGTTACAGAATATATTAAATCTACAATTGCGCTAAAGTCCACGTCCACATTTATTTGTTGCTGTAAGCAAAATCATAACTTTCACTTTCCATGATTATCTAATCACAAGGAGTATAAAATTAACTACTATACGTCTGCAAAAACAAGCGTATAATACTCTAGATCAAAATGAGTTTTGTATTTGAACCATGTATTTCCAGCAAAAGGTGATATTTTATTATTGATATTTTATTTCGCAAAGTGATTTTACTGAATCTGTTATTGCGATGCGAATTGGTTCCAAGCTTTGAGAAAGTTGCTTTCCCCGAGTGAGCTAATGAAGAGCGGTCGTCGCAAGGCTTGGGTTCCAAGGGACAACATTGTGACTTTAATATTTTTCATGCTAAATTTACTGTTCCCGTTGTCATTCGTAATCAGAAAGAAGATAGCTCAACAGTTAATAATATGTATTCTTTATTTATCGGTTTAAAGTTATAAAATCAGTTTTATAAATTTCAAATTATTTTCTTTGAGTGAAGTCCAGATCTGTGAGACTGAATTTTGTGTGTTACACCTCCTTAGATTTCATGACGTTAGCGATAAGCTTGGACACTTTGTTGTTTGACGTGTTATACATATCATGTGATACTATATAAAATAATCTTAGAAAATTTGCGACCATGAGACCGAAACCTATGACATTACATGAAAGTATGAAAGCACAGGCTGTCGGCCTTTACTTGCGATATTTCCGCAGAGCTGGGGTAAAATTTAGGAATCTACTCGCAAGAGTGCTCAGCGTGTCTCCCTCCATGATACCGCAGGTTTCACAAAGGACGCTCTCATCCTCAGTATTCAGATTTCAGTCTCCTTTTGTTTGGTACATCATGCAATTTTCCCTGCTGCATAATAGGCTTCCGAGACGAGTGTGATAAAATTATCCTCTGTGATAGAATGTTACAATTGCAATTCTGATAAAGCCTGCAAGCATGACTTGTGCGAGATTAAAGGTATAGAATTTTTAACCAAGTGGAACATCATGACATTAATGTATGTAAGAATTTTTAAAGCAATGAAATCTAGTATGCACTAATACTAACTAAATTATTATTATTACTTTGCTTGTATTTGTAGTAGAAATACTACTGACTGGACCCATGGTCATAGAAGATTTGGGCGATCATAGCATTTGCTTCCACATGATTAGAGTAAAGTGTGCGCAACTGCATGTATGCATTCAATCATTAAGAATCCATTGGCACAGCATTTTACAGAAAAAAACATTGATTATATAACGATTTAATGCTTAGATGCCTCTCATCTGTGATGAAGTGATGGGTAATATTTTTTGTTAAATTTCTTGTCTTGAATGTTCCCTTGAGTCATTGTTCAAGAAACTAAATAAGCCGAATCCGACCTTTGAAACCGAACTAATTTGCTGGTGAGCCGTGTGTTGAATGAAAGTGAGCAATAGGCTGGCTGGATAGTGTAAAATTGCTCCTTTAAATGCCATTCTTCTCTTTTTTGGCTTGTGCTATTATGTGACATGAAAAATTTCTGGTACAATGAATCTTTTGGTGGTCATGAAGAGACTTGGCGATTGCGTGACCCGTAATAAGAGAAGAGAACCCCAGCTGCTCATTTAAAAACTGACTTTGTGACTTCTGGTTCATCTTTATAAACATCATCCGTCCAAGGTTTATAGAAACCAAATATTCTCATCAATGAAGTCGGTCGGGTCATTTAACCAGGTAGGTCGACGTCGTCCTCTTTGTGAGACTGCTGCTCCAATTTGTCAGTGCTCCTGTATTTTACACCGATTGTAAACCCGTCCTTCGCTCGTCCTCTTAGACTAATTCGTCCACAAATCAAATTATCCAGTTGCTCCAATAGAAAGAAGTCCAATTTCAACCCCATCAATTTGTGCAGAATTATAATTTAATATTTCACATCAAAGAAACCTTTAGTAATGCATGAGAAAAATTGTTCCATGAAAAAATGTGGCTTTTATTTAATACGAATTGAATGAGAATTTTGCCTGCATACTAATAAATAAATACCCATTTGGTTCGAATAATAATAGTTTTGGACATAATTTTGAGCTGGCAGAGTACGGGACGAGGTACTTGAGATGAGTATTATTACAATATGGATTGTAACTTTCATTGCCATTGTGAAGAAATGATGCTCCAACCTTTGGAGTCAATAGCTGCAATATGTCAATGGATGTTTGTGAGCAGAGTCAAGAATGCCGGAATAAAGGGACGGAACGTATTTAGTATTTTCCTATTATGGTCACAGGCGATTGTTTGGGTGACAAATTTAACATCTTTTCAAGCATTTAGTGGGATATTTAGCGAGCAGATGCTCTTTTCCAAAAAGTCAGCACACGAACGTATGAATGTATGCAGTGTTTTGAGCTTTGGGAGTCAGTTTACATAGTTGACTGCTCTTCCTACCTGAATACTTAATGGGGAGTACGTAGTCAGCAGAAAAAATAGAGGGAACGTGAATGGCACACATATCTGGAAAAGTGTATTACAGAGCAAAATGCGTGCGATTAACCGAAAGGTTCAAGTCCCATATGCAAAGGAAATTCATTCAGTCGTGTTTTTAGTTAGCTTGTTCGGATGAATTTTATCTCTTTGATATGCTGCATTTGATTCCTGATGTGCGCTCTCTCACTTAAGGATTGGTTTGGGGATTGTGCATAATTTGGTTGTTGGAGCATCAGATTGATTGTCAATGAGAGGAGAAAACAAGCGTTTTGCGTGTTTTCCACCCACGAAAATCCTATAAGTGAGTGGAGATAAGCTTAATTACCAGCATGAAATGGGAATGCATAGCCTGGTGGATGGAGTGAGAGCGTAGTTGGTCATATCTTCATAATGAGATTGTTTGCGGTGTTGGAAACTGGCTTATCATCCCTTTAATCCCAAATATTTGGAT